TAGAAAGTTACTCTTACAGAAGGAGAACTGAAAGATGAGGAGAGCAAAGGCAGGAAGACCAGTTAGGAGGTAGCCATAAAAAAGAGATAATAAAGGCAGCAGTATTGGCAAGAAGAGGAAGCACAGACTGAAGATGTATTCGAGAGCTGTTGAGAGAGCAGACTGGGAGTGTGGGAGGAGGAATTAGTCTAAGATGACTTCCAGATCTTTGAGGCTGAGTGTGACATAGGCCACAATGGAGCACACAGGACAAGAAGCAGGGCTGGACCTGGAGCAGAGAAAGAGGTTTCTGTTTTGGATGTGTTTCTGAGGGATCTGTGGGGTATTCGGGTGGAGAGGTGCCTAGGAGGCAGTTGGAGACACAGGCATGGAACTCAGTAGAGAGTTCAGGTCAGGACAAAGAAAGAGGTTGGGAGTCATCAGAATATAAAAAGACACAGAAGTTATGGGTGCAGATGAGACTGCCAGAGCAAGTTACAGAGAAAAGACAAGAAACAAAAGTTATGCGTGTTCCTGCCTACCTCTAAAACCAAGATTGGAATAGGAGCTTTTCTGAGAAGGGTCCAGAGAGGTCCAATGCAACAAGAAGCTAAACAGTTGTCTCTGCAAGGACTCTGTGTAGAGTCCCTTTCACAGGTTTCCACTTGGGCTAACATGCCATTTGGGAGACAATGGAAGGCAATGAGAGGAGGCAGAAAAGTAGACCAAAGGGAAGGCTAACCAGTCCAAACATTCCCCATGGACTGCCTGCACAGGAATCGGGGTGACTACACAGTGACATGTTTTAAACGTCTAGTGCCTGGAAACCTCGATGGGTCAAGCTTAATATGGAAAGAGAAAATGACAATAATCATCTTAACTTCCTTTTACTGAGTACCTATTATGTGTGCTAAGACCTGCACATCACATATATTATCTCTAGTCCTCACAAGACCCTAGCAAAGACTGTTCTATTATAAACGGAGCCCTATCTAATTTAAGTCACCCTGTCTGCATGACCCTCAATCATGTACCAGGCTGTCTTTCTAATGAATACACAAGTGGGACAAATATACTTTCATCAGGAGGAAAAAGAGATTAATCATAAGGATAAGAAGGTTAATTACATAAAGAACTTGATTTTCAAGCTGCGGAACTGTTCCACAGAAGGAAGGAAGGTGGGAAGGAAAAAAGAAACCAAATCCAAGAGACTATAGTTTATAAGAACATTTTTAAGTTAAAATGGAATTCAGTGAGGAAGGTGGACAGAGACTAATGATATCAACTTTCTTATTCTCATATAGCAAGACCTATACTGTACATCATCACTCGCAGAGCAAGACCTAGGAGCCTGACCAAAGCTCCACCCACTTCATTCACAGTCAAGGAATGCAACGAAGGAGAAAACCACACAACCACAACCTCGGCAAAGCTATTCGCTAGCCTCGCTCTGGTGCCCTGAGATCAGTAGACTGTTGACACGGATAGATCATACTCTGCATGAAGCATTATGCCTTGACAGCTCAACATTCTTCTCACAAGATTTTGTCATCCCTGCGTTACAGGTGAGAAAGCTGAGGCTCAGAGAGGCACACAGCTTGCTCAAAGTCCCAGGGTCAACAATAGCCCACGGTGCTCAGAGGCTCAGGAAGAGTTATCAATGGAAGCTAAAAGGTTGGGAGAAAACCCAGCAGGGAAGATGATTCAAGGAGTTAGACAAGAAACCGGGCAGTGCGGGTACAGCAAGCAGCTCCCTCAGCTTCCCTTTCACTTACACTAGAGGGAGGCTTTGACTCCGTTCTCCCAAACAGCTCATTTCACAATGCTGGGTAGGGGACATTCTGGTTATCTCTCACGTACTGATGTGGTATCACCACCCCCTGGAGTGATGGTATAAGAAGGGGACTAAATGTGTCTGTTTACATTCATATTACAGAGCCAAAGAATCCATGCAATAACTTTAAAACTACTACTTGAAAATGGCTTTGCTAAGCAGGCAAGCACTTCTCGACTATCTCATACCTCTTGCTTAGTGCAAAATGCTTTGGATTCATCCCGTCTACCAGTAGTCCTTTACTACGGGTGATTTTACTCTCCAGGGATATAAGGAAATATCCCAAGACATCTTTGGGGGTGCTATTTGGGGGTGTTTCTGGTACATGGTGGGTCCAGCTCAGGTTAATATCCTGCTAAATATCCTGAGGCAACAAAGAATTATTAAGGCCCAAAATGTAAACAGTACTGCTGGTAAGAAACCCTATGCAAGCTACAGGCAGGACAGTAGAGGGTATGAAACTCACTCTTTAGCCCTTTTCTGATACATAAAAGGCCACTCAAATTCTGGATTTAAAATAGCAAAAAAGTTTCCTATATGATCAGCCAGTCTTTGACCTAATTTTATTTTCTCAAATATCAGAAGCAAATACTTCAGCCAGAGCACTGGCCACACAGACTCCTTTTTCCAGGATTCCTCCTACCTGTGCCAGTGTTTCCTGCCCCTGAAAAACAAGAGAACAGATTCTTTGCTGTGCTCTCAGGATATGAGAGAGAGTATTTAACTAGTTTCCCCCAAAAGTCTGTAAGAACAGGATCATACAGGCAGCCTGTGCTACAGGAATGAATCTTTAGCCAGAAGTTTTTTTCAGCCCACATGTGTATTTACTGTGAATCCACAGTGTGACCCAATGATAAAGACCATTTATTTCAAAAGTACCTGAGAGTTTTTAAAAACAAGACTTCAAATAGTCTTAGAATAAGAGACAACTCCATTTTGACTGGCAGCTCCCAAATTTTCTGAATTCTTACTGCCTTTTACGGTCTAGTTTTAATTATTAATAGTTCTGTTGGAAGATTGTTAGAGCATTGAGAAATTTTGATCATTTAATTTTGGACTGAGAAGGGCCTTTTTTTTTTTTTTTTTTTTTGGTCTGTAAGGAGGAAATTAGTCAACTGAAAACTAGCATTCTAATGAAGAAGTCTTAGAAACACAGGCTAAGTAGACAGAAAGACAGAAGGCTGCAGGGCTTCTTTTTCAAAACAGGTCCAAGGATAGGAGATCAGAGCTAAGGCCAGACAGAAAGGTGGTGAGCTCTCTCCCACATCACATGTGAAAGAAAAAGGGGGTGGATGGGAGTAAACTAAGTGAGGCACAGAGGACCAGCTTAACTTGGGTCTGACAGTTGTGGGTGTCCAGACAATGGCAAAAGCAGTACTGGAGAAAGGTCTTCCCCTAACAAACACACCTGCAGGCTACCCCGGGAGCGTTTCACTTGGAAATCCTGGAGGCAGGAAGCAAAGCTGAGAACATGTTTAAGGGACAACTAGGGTATCCCAGGGCAAGGTGCCCACAACAATGATGCTGTGGCAGGGATGCTCCCCGTCGCCCTCGGCCACCCCCACCGTCCTCGCGATGCGCTGTCACTTTTGGCAGGGAAGCCGTCAACATAGGGGTAGTCGCCGGCCGGCGGGCCTCACACTGCAGTGGCCAAGGGGTTCCGACAGGCCTCACCGGAGCTGGGCCCGGAACCAGCCCGCTCCCCCGCCCCCAAGTCGGTCTCTGGCCCGGCGGAGGCGGCCGGGGAGGGAGGCCCCGGGTGCCTACTTACCGATCTGCCCGATGAACTCGATCTTGATGCCCTGGTGCTCCAGCCGCTTGTTGGGGTTCTTGAGTGCAAGGCTCACCTTCCCGGACACCGTCTCTCCGTCGTAGAAGAGGAAATATTTCTCCTTCTTCCCGTCCTCCGTCTTGTGCTCGGCCCGCTTCCTACTCTCGGCATCGTTCAGCAAGATTTCCACCTCCACGCTCTGCCCGAAGCCGAAGAAGCTCATTTCACCGCCGGGCCGGACCGGGCCGGGCCAGTCTCGGTTAGAACCTCTCCTCTCTGCGGGGTAGGAGCCCTAAGCGAAGGCCGGAGGGCTGGACGCCGGACCCAGCTCTCTGCCAGACGGGGCCCCGGCGACAGCACGACTCCCGGCTCCACGGGGAGGGGGCAGGGCCCGCTGCAGCGCCGTGGGTACCAGTGCACCGCGACTCGCCAGTCCCGGGCGAGTCCGAGCCGTCGGCGGCAGTGAGGGACTAGGGCCGGCAATGCAATTAGAGGGGGGCAGTACACAGCCCGGGCGTGCGTGGCCGCTGCCGCCCACCGGGTGGGGTGCGGCGCTGAGTAGCACAGCGAGCCAGCCCCGGCCTCTGGCGGTGCAACGCACGGAGGTGCTTCCGCGGCTTCAAGCGGGGGTGAGGAGGGGCGGGGGGGGGGCCCGCAGTCTCCAGCCCGGACGCTTCGGAGACGCCACGCGCATGCGTTCGCCTCTGCCGCTGTAGCTTTCGCCACTCGGCCCCCCCACCGAGGTGTGCTCATTGCGCATGTGCTCTGGTAGACTGCGCGGCCTATCTTTCCCTTAGTTGACATGGCCGTTACAGCCTTTTGCCAGGATCCCGGGCCAGACGTCCCATAAAATTAAAAGAACTGCAAATATCCTTTCTGGGTGCTTTGTTTTGTTTTCCTTTATTGTTTTAGCTCGGTAAACATTAGGCTACCATCCACATTCGAATATATACAACGTTCGAGTGCTGTCTGACGGGGTAAGGGTAGCCCTTTGACACGCACGGAAAATGCCGCTTGACAGAGGAGTGCGGGGAAGCAAGAGTAACATTTAATACAGGAAGGATCCTGTCTCAAGTTCTCTTTACAGTGTCCCCCCAAAATAAGGCGAGAAAGACTATTAAGTTTTAGTTTAATAGTTGAACCCCACTTTAAACGGAAACCTAAAAAAATCACCCCGTGAAACGTTGGCTCCATCGCAATCCTTGGCCCCATCGCAATCCTTGGCCCGCCCCATTCTTTGCGCATGCGGCAGAAGTCTCTGCTGATTGGTTAATAGAGGGAAAACTGCTGGGCGCGACGATTAGTCGGTGGGTAATTCCCCACATTGTGATTGGTCCACAGGAACGTCTCGGAGCGCGCGCGGGAGCGAGCTTTGAAAGTTGACCACCGGGGAGGCTAACCGGTTCCTGAGCGATAATGGTGGCGCTGCCGGGCCTTGGGAGCGGCCTGCAGCCTTGGTGTCCGCTGGATCTCAGCCCTGGTGAGAAAACGAGGCCGTGAGTCTCGGGGAGGCCAGGCTGTGGTGCTTTGCGAATGCGGTGCTCCTCTGCCCGGGCCAGGAGTGGGGGTGGGGCGCTCGGCTCTCAGCAGAGTCTGGGGTCTCCAGGTCTGTGCATTCCAGGACAGTGGCGAACCGGGTATGGAAGAGGGGTCAACCTAGTGAAGGATCAGGAAAAAGAGAGCTTATATGGTCCGATCTCTTTTAGTTCTTTTGCATGTTTTCTCGGCCTTCCCTTGTTTATTCTGTAAATCCTCACTGGCTGTCTCATCGAGTTCTTTGGTTTAAAATAGTAAATCTGGTTCTTCGTTCAGACTTATTTCCTGAACTTCGTGTTCGTTGGTTTAAATGGATGTCTCACAGGCACCTCAGACGCTACATGCGTGAAACTGGGGTTCCCAAAGCCAGTTGTTGGTACCAGCCAATCCACAAACCTGGGAGTCATGGCATTCCTTCTTCATCCTTACTGCTCACAGCCACCGGTTGTCCTCCCCTCAGAGATGTCTCTCAGGTCCTCCTTGCTCCTCTTCCTGATGCTGCTGTCGAGCAGCAAGCCCTCATGATAGCCAGCCTGTATCCTAGCCGTTTTCTCATGCCAACTCTTTCAGCCTGTTCCCTACACCTCTACCAGGATCACTTTTGAAAACACAAACGTGACCCTATCAAGTCTTTAAGCCTTTAATGTTTCTCCTTTATTTCTTAAATAAATGACCAAGTCTTTGGCATGCCCTTGTAGGAGGGTTCACCACTCACTGCAGTCTTCTTTTCCAAGAGCATAACCTTTGGAGTCAGAACTGTGGGATTGGCTCTTCAGTTTAGCATCCCTGTATCACGGAGCGAGTTGCTTAACCTTGCTAAGCCATCGTTTTCTTACATGTCAGATGGGGATTATAATAATATCTACCTCACAGGAGTTTTGTGAAGATTAATTTAGTACCTGGCACATAGTAGTTGCCGAATAAATACTATTTACTTATAGCATAAATAAATACTAATAATCTCTCACCCTTCACACTAAGGCTCAGTGTTATAACTATTTTGTTTATTTTTAAACAGGCTATACTTACTTTCTCTTTGTTCTCTCTGTCTGGAATACTTTTTTGCATTTCTTTCCCTGATAAAGTCCTACATTTAGGTCCAGTTGAAGCAGAATCATCCTTCCCACTTCTTTTATCCTTCCCACCTCCTCCATAATATTTTCTTCTATGCTCTCTAGTGTTTTACATACCTATTACTGTTTTAACACTAGTCTATTGAAAAAATAATAAACGTAAAAAAAAGATAGTACCTATCATTTATTGAATTCTTAATTTCCTGACCAGATCTTTTCTCTTTTCATTGGGGCTTGAGTAGTTGTGATCCAGAAATAAGATCTGAAATATTGGTATGTGTTTAAAAATATGCATATTAGATAAATGGGAGAATATGAGAGAAAAAGAGGCAGAAAAGATGCAAGAATATTTTTAGGAAGAGGATTGTATTTGTTAGGAGAATGATTAGGAAAGAGTGAGTGAATAATTAAGCATGTTAAACAGTTGCCTCAGATGCCCCTTTGTGCTGCATACTTTCTTTGGGTTTATTAACTTGATTGTAAGATTTTCACAAAGGGACATCTGAGGCAATCTTTTATTAACCTCTCTTTTTTCTCCAGATTGAATTATGGGAAAGCCATATTGTTCAGTGTTTTGAAGTGCCGTTCATATCTGAAAAGTGTTTTCTTTCTTGGTATTTGTAGGCGATGATCAGTCTAATAACCAGCTGCCAGTTCTGATTTTAAAAAAGATTTTTAACATTTCCTGCTCTCTTTTAATTATGCTACACCTGTATTGTATGTTTAAATGTGAGTTGTGACTAGTAAGTTCTCCTTTTTTTTTTTTTTTTAAGATTGTATTTATTTGACAGAGAGAGAGAGACAGCAAGAGAGGGAACACAAACAGAGGGAGTGGGAGACAGAAAAGCAGTCTTCCCACTGAGCAGGGTGCCGATGTGGGGCTTAAACCCAGGACCTGGGATCATGACCTGAGCTGAAGGCAGACCCTTAACGACTGAGCCACCCAGGCGCCCCAAGTTTTCTCTTTTTAAATATACTTAAAATCTAAAGGTTATTGATGTTTTACTTATTATAAAAACATTTTATTTAATTGCATTTTCCTACTAGAATGGGTGGACACAGTATGGGAACTGGATTTCACAGAGACTGAGCCTTTGGATCCCAGCATAGAAGCAGAAATCCTAGAGACTGGATTGAATGCATTCACAAAACTATATGAAAGTGTTTTCCCCTTTGCTACTGAAGAACATGGATCTACAGAGGTAAAATAAATAAATAAATAAAATTAAAAATTAAGCCAGCTGTCTTTAGGTGTCAGAAGTGGAAGATGAAAGTCATTATAATCTGAAGATTAGCCTTTTTAGTATACAGTTTATATGGAGTATGATAAGAATAGCATAGAGAATGTGGTTCATTTGTTATAAAATTGTAATTCCTAATAGATAAGTCAAGTGGGAAGATTACGGGTTCAGTTTAGGCTTTTGAACATGAAATTCTGTTAGGAAATTCTTAGGGAGATGTAATAGGTCACTGGCAATGTGAATTGGAAGACTAGGAAAGAAGTAAAAATTCAACCACATAGATAGGAAGAGCCATCTGAATCAAGGGGATAGGTGAAGTGCAGCGATGCATGAGGTCGTGGGGAAGAGAAGAGACAGGACAGGACTGAGAGAGCTGGTTCAAAGTGATGTGCAGGCTAGCAGTTAGAATGTGGTGAGTGTTGATATGAAGACTAGGGAGTAGCCAGGCATCAAGTGCTGTAGAGGTCATGGGCAGGTAGAGTTCCGACACAAGGAAGTTGGGGCAGAGATGATTGGATCATCATTGGTGACCTGAAGGGTCACAGTTACAGGTGAGTGGAGTACAGCTGAAGTGGCGTTAGGAATGAGGAGGTGACTGCTATAAAAGTAGGAGGTGATTTCTTCTGGAAGTTTCAGGTGAAAAAAATGCAGACTGCTCATAGGATTCTAAATGTGCTCTTCTGTAAAGTGGCACGTGCTAAGCAGTGTGGCTAAGCCAAGGCATTACCGCCCATTTTCCCTGTCTTCAGAAAATCAGGAAGTACAAGGTCTGATTTCTTGAACTTTTGTGGGCCCAAGGTTTTTTAAAGGTACTCCAGGATAAACCATATTTAGTTGCTGCTGTGTTTGGTTTATAGAAATAACCCATTTCCTCTTCATGTGTTTAATTGGCAAAACATGGAGGAATGATACAATTAATAAAATTGTGATTTATAGTTGCAGGTGTATTTCCTTTCTAACCTAGGTCACTTCTGAAATCTGCTGAGGGAGAAACTTTCAGGTATTTCTTTTCCTGTTCCCACTGCCCATAGAGCCTTTAAATTTTAAGTAAATGGCTCTGATTTCTTCAGTTAGTAATTAGAGTGATAAATGGTTTTGAATACTTTTAATATAGAGGGGTAACTTATTTGAGTAAACACTAATATAAGGTGCCCCAAAAGTCTTAGTATAATTTTTAACTATGATAATTTCAGAAATATATATGCTTCAAACCTATCCCCAAATTATTTTTGAAAATTTGATTATTTATGTTTCTTATATACTAATTTATCTTTGTAATTTTGAATACTACATTTTAATTTTTTGTTTCAGTCCCTTTGAAGATTTATAATTAGGAGCCAGGTTGGTCTGTTCTTTTTTTTTTTAATGAGATACTAAATACTTGCTAAAATCAAATAACAAGAGATTTTCCCATTTCTGTAATTCTTGGCTTTTATGTCTCTCCCTCTCCCCAGAGCATTTGGACCTTCTTCATTGAGAACAGTATTTCTCACAGGGCACTGGTGGCATTGTTCTATCACTTTGTTCAAACAGTTCATAAGAAAAGTGTCAGCGTGCAGTATCGACAATATGGTCTTCATGCTGCTGGGCTTTATTTTCTGCTGCTGGAAGTACCAGGTATGTATATTTGATATGATAGAATAAATATACTTCTATTTTAAATTTTTACATTGTTTCAAGCCCTTTCATTTTGTTTTCTCACTTCTAAAATGGAGCAATAGTAATCCATCTCACAGTTGTTCTGAGGGTTAAATGAGAGTATGTCTATAAAATATATGGCATGTTACAGGTGTTCAAGAAATATCTTTCCCTTGTTTCTTTTTTTTTAAAATATGTTGTGTCTATAACCTAATGCAATTAATCTGAGAGAGTTAAAGGCTTGAGGAAGGGAATTATTTCTAAGCTACAAGAGCTCCATTCCCACCCACCCCCACCTAGTATAAAAAACTGATACTGCCTGCTCATCTCCTGACTCCCTGTCCAGACTGAGAAAGACTGGGGAGTCATTGTGTTATATATAATCTCTCTCCTATGCAGATATGAAAAAATACTTTAAAACCATTCTAATAAAGAAAGCATGAGAATAGCTAGTAATGCTTGATAAAGGAAAGCACAGAAAGTAGTCTATAAGCATTGTTTTACTTCCTTTATTGTTAGAACACTTAGGTGGCTGTTCCTCCTGTGAGCAGTAAGAGTCACTTCTACCCATCCCAAACCCAAGGCAAGAGAGGATGGTACATAGAGGGGGATATAGCTGGAGAACCTAAAGTTACTGCTTGTCATTTTTTATATTTATTGTCATTTGTATATTTATATTTATTGTCATTTATAATAACTGTTAAGGATGATGATTATCCCATATGATTTGGGGAATGGTAAAAAGACATATAAAGCCTTGAACATTAATTTGTATTATTGTTAAAGCTCCAGGGGCGCCTGGGTGGCTCAGTGGGTTAAGCCTCTGCCTTCGGTTCAGCTCATGATCTCAGGGCCCTGGGATCGAGCCCCGCATCGGGCTCTTTGCTGAGCGGGGAATCTGCTTCCCCCTTTCTCTCTTTGCCTGCCTTTCTGCCTACTTGTGATCTCTCTCTCTGTCAAATAAATAAAATCTTAAAAAAGAAAAAAAAAAAACCTCCCAATAATGACTTCCGAAGTGAGTTTCTAAAGACTTTCTTCTTGCTAAACAGTATCTCAGTTGTAACTGAGCTGTCTTACAGAAAAGTGGTGGTTTTAGGAACCCAATTTTGTTCTTTTCTTCACTTGTTAGATCCAGTTCCTTCTGATTAAGGCGGAAATGTATGCCAAAGTGAAGAGTGTTGTTCATTATAGGCTACTTGCTGCTTTCCGGCAAGTGGTGTTCTTGCCAATTATCTTCTGTTTTTAAATGTTTCTGCATTATGGTTGCAATGCTGTTGAGACTCAATTTTTAATCACAGTGTGCTCTTTTTCAAGATTGTTTTGGTTATTCTGGGTCCCTTGCATTTCCATGTGAATAATAGGAGGTGCATGTCAATTTCTCCCAAAAAAGGCTTCTGGGATTTTGACAGTGCACTGAATCCGTAGATCAGTTTAGGGAGTGTTGCCATCTTAACAACATTAAGTCTTCCAATCCATGAACACAGGCTATCTTTCCATTTATTTTGGGTTTCCCTCATCTGTTTCAATATTTTATACTTTCCAATGTACAACTCTTGCGCTTACTCAGTAAAATTTATTCCTAAGTATTTTATTCTTTTCCATGCTATTGTAGATGAAATTGTTTTCTCAGTTTCATTTTCAGATTGTTTACTTGTAGTGTGTAGATGTACAATTTACATTTATTTACTTAATATTTAAGTGTAGTTGATGTACAATGTCACATTAATTTCAGTCATACAGTATAGTGATGGAACAAGTCTATATATGAAAAGCCTATACCTTATGCTATGTTCACTCTAAGTGGGGCTATCATGTCACCATTCTATGCTATTACAGTACCATTGGGTATATTTCCTGTGCTGTGCCTTTCATTCCCATGACTTACTCATTTTGTAAGTGGAAGCCTTCTCTTTCCCCTCACCCATTTTGCCCATCTCCAATCCCTCAAGCAACTACCAGTTTGTTCTTTGTATTTATTGGTTTGTTTCAGCTTTTTAAATTTTTTTTAGTTTTTACATATATGTGAAATCATAAATTTGTCTTTCTCTGTCTGATTTATTTCACTTAGCACGCTACCCTCTAGGTCAGTCTGTATTGTTGCAAATGGCAAGATCTCATTCTGTTTTGTACCTGAGTAATCCATTTTATATATATGTACCCCATATTTATCCATTTATCTATCAATGTACACTTGGGCTGTGTCCATCTATTGACTATTGTAAATAATGCTGCAGTAAACATAGGGGTGCATGTAAATTTTTTAATTAGTGCTTTCTTTGGTTAAATACTCAGTAGTGGAATTATTGGATCTTACAGTATTTTAGTTTTTAATTTTTTGAGTAACCTCCATGCTATTTTCTTTCCGCAGTGGCTGTACCAACATTCCCACCAACAGTGCATGAGAGTTCCTTTTTCTTCATATCCTTGGATTTGTCATTTCTTGTCTTTTTCTTTTAAGATTTTATTTATTTGTGAGAGAGAGGGAGAGAGAGAGAGAGAGCATGAGCAGGGGAAGGGTCAGAGACAAAGGGAGAAGGAGACTACCCACTGAGCAGGGAGCCTGACTTGGGCTCCATCATGGACACTGGGACCATGACTTGAGCCAAAGGAAGATGCTTAACTGAGCCACCCAGGTGCCCGTCTTGTCTTTTTAATTTTAGCCATTGTGATAGGTATGAAGTAATATCTCATTGTGGTTTTGATTTGTGTTTCCCTGATGATTAGTAATGTTGAGCATCTTTTCAAGTACCTGTTGACAATTTGTATGTCTTTTTTGGGTCCTCTGCCCTTTTTTAAATCAAAGGACTACTTGATTTTTTATTACCAATCTTATACTATGAAACCTCACTGAACTCAATTACTATTTCTAGTAGGATTTTATCTTTATCTAATAGGATTATATCTTCTGTGTATAGACATAATTTTACTTCTTTCTTTCCAGTTTAGTTGCCCTTTATTTCTTTTCTTTTCTTTTTTTATTTGTCTAGTTGTCCTGATGAAGACCTCCAGTATAGTGCTGAGCAGGAGGTGCACATCTTGTCTTGTTTCTGATCTCAGGAGGAAAACTTTGTCTTTTGTTCTTAAGGATGATATTTGCTGTGGGTGTTTTGAGGATCACCTTTAAGACATTGTTACTCCTACTTTGTTGAGTGTTTTATTTTGAAAGGGTATTGAATCTTATTATTTGCTTTTCTGTATCTATGAGATGTTCATCTGATTTTTGATCCTTATTCCAATAATAGAGTATGGTATTATGATGATTGATTTTCGTGTTAAACCAGTTTTGCATTTCCTTGATCATAGTGTATACTCCTTTTAATGTATTGCCAGATTCTGCTAGCTAATACTTTATTTATTTATTTATTTATTAGAAATATGGAACACTTTGTGAATTTCCATGTTATCCTTGCCCAGGGCCATGCTAATCTTCTCTGTATTATTCTAATTTAGTATATGTGCTGCTGAAGAGGGCATAACTAATATTTTACTGAAGATTTTTGCATCTGTATTCATAAGAGATACTCTTTTTTTTTTTTATTAACATATAATGTATTATTTGCCCCAGGGGTACAGGTCTGTGAATCATCAGACTACACATTTCACAGCACTCATCATAGCACATACCCTCCCCAATGTCCATAACCCAGTCACCCTATCCCTACCCCACCACCCCCCAGCAGCCCTCAGTTTGTATTGTGAGATTAAGAGTCTCTTATGGTTTTTCTCCCTCCCAATCCCATCTTGTTTCATTTTTTTCCTTCCCTACTGCCCACAACCCCCGACTCTGCCTCTCAAATTCCTCATATCAAAGAGATCATATCATAATTATCTTTCTCTGATTGACTTATTTCACTCAGTATAATACCCTCTAGTTCCAACCATGTCGTTGCAAATGGCAGGATTTTGTTTCTTTTGATGGCTGCATAGTATTCCATTGTGTGTGTGTGTGTGTGTGTGTGTGTGTGTGTGTGTGTGTGTGTGTGTTTATGTATCACATCTTTATCCATTCATCTGTTGATGGACATCTAGGTTCTTTACATAGTTTGGCTACTGTAGACATTGCTGCTATAAACATTTGGGTGCATGTGCCACTTTGGATCACTACATTTGTATCTTTAGGGCAAATATCCGGTAGTGCAACTGCTGGGTCATAGGGTAGTTCTACTTTCAATTCTTTGAGGAACCTCCTTACTGTTTTCCAGAGTGGTTGCACCAGCTTGCATTCCCGCCAGTAGTGTAGGAGGGTTCCTCTTTTTCTGCATCCTTGCCAACATCTGTAGTTACCTGACTTGTTAATTTTAGCCATTTTGACTGGTGTGAGGTGGTATCTCATTGGTTTTGGTTTGTATTTCCCTGATGCCGAGCAATGTTGATCACTTTTTCATGTGTCTGTTGGCCATCTGGATGTCTTCTTTGCAGAAATATCTGTTCATGTCTTCTGCCCATTTATTGATTGGATTATTTGATCTATAAAGATTGTTGGATACTAGCCCTTTATCTGATATGTCATTTGCAAATATCTTCTCCCATTCTGTCAGTTGTCTTTTGGTTTTGTTGAGTGTTTCCTTTGCTGTGCAAAAACTTTTGATCTAGAAGTAGTCCCAATAGTTAATTTTTGCCCTTGCTTCCCTTGACTTTGGCAGCGTTTCTAGGAAGTAGTTGCTGTAGTTGACATCGAAGAAGTTGCTGCCTGTGTTCTTCAGGATTTTGATGGATTCCTTTCTCACATTGAGGTCTTTCATCTATTTTGAGTCTATTTTTGTGTGTGGTGTAAGGAAATGGTCGAGTTCCATTTTTCTGCATGTGGCTGTCAAATTTTCCCAATACCATGTTGAAGAGACTGTCTTTTTTCCATTGGAGAAAATTTTGGAAAAAATTAGAAAGACTTTTCCTGCTTTGTCGAAGATTAGTTGAAGGATTCTGGGCTCTCTGTTCTGTTCCACTGATCTATGTGTCTGTTTTTGTGCCAGTACCATACT